TGCCAAGGTGGGTGTCAGAGAGGGGCGCAGAGACCGAACGCAAAGGAGCAGTTTCAGGCGGCGAGGGTGTGTGCAAAGGCCCAGAGGCAGAGGCAGGCCCGGGCTGGCCGCAGAGCGCCAGAATGAAGCCAGCAAGGAGGGGGCAGGGGCCAGGCCACACTCCCTGGGGGCTCGAGTCAGACGACCCAGGAGTGACCAAGGCATCAGCACAGGAATGGCAGGAGGCCTAGGCTGGGGGACGAGCAGGGTGACAGAGGGGGAGGGAGCTGCCTCTCAGAGTGGCTTAGCTATGGTCCCCACTCCGCTCTGGGGGGCTGTCCTGAGCCCTGTGGGGGTGTCAAGAAGCATCCCTGGCCCCCGCCCACTCGAGCACCCCCAGTTGTGACGACCACAGATAGGGTGGGGGGACACCCAAGAAACCACCACGGGAGCCTCTTCTGTTAAAAGTCAGAAGTGTTTTTGTCTTGTTTTAATATCTCATCAGCTTTACAGGGTTACAATTGTCTTAAATATTTCTGAAGTTTAAATACAATCTGCATAATAATGTTATAAAATGTAAACTTTCAGTGTTCTTTTAAATTTCAAAATCACACCCTTTTTTTGTTTTTGTTTTTATTTTCGTTTTTTTGGTCTTTCGTCTTTTTTCTTTTTTTTTTCCCCTTTTAATACCTGAATGTTTGCAAAACTGAAGTCCTTGGGCCGGCAGGCGAGACCACGGCCAGAGGTAGAGAGAACTTTACACCTTTATTTTTTTAACTTTTTTTTTTTCCTTTAACCTGAGTTCAGGCGTGGTCCCCACGCCCTGGGACGAACCCCAGAGAAACTGAAATTTCACATGTCAGGAATGAAAGGCTGAATTCGTGTTTGCCAAGAAAAAAAACCAAAAACTGCGAAAGCAAAATTAAGGAAAAAAAACCAAGGAGAGAAGTGGGCAGAAACGATAAAAGAGATCGGACAAACGCACAAGTCCTAAAACCTAAGCCAGCCGCCCCCATGCCCCACAGCCCTGCCCGCGCGCCACGGGACAGCTGGACAGCCCTGCGGCGAGTCTGGGCGTCAGAGGGAAGATTCCAGAAGCAGCCCATTCACAAACATGTCCAGAGCAGGGGAGCCCCCGAGCCCCTCTCGACCCTGAGTTTGGGGGTCCTTGCCGTGCGGCTGCACCCCACCCTTCCAGAATGAACAGTGTACAAATCTGACACATGGCTGCCCTGTCCCCAGTCTGGTCGGCATAAGGGGGTGCGAGACGTACCCCTCAACTCCCACCAACAGGCGGTGGCCCCGAGCTGGCAGTGGCAGGGGGTGAACGGGGCCCCGAGGCAGAGGCCGCGGCTCCCCCCAGCCCCACGCTCCCCACCTGCCCCCACAACAGCAGGCACTCCCTGAGTTAGATCCCGAGCCACGTCGCCCACACGACACGCCGCCCGGGGTCCCCGACACCCGACACATACGACCCTGGGGAGGGGGCGCACGGGCCGGGGGTGGGAGGGGACAGGTGCTGGCACCTGCCGAAGCCCTGAGCCAGCGGAGGGGACAGGCTGGCCGCGTTTGGCATCAAGAGTCAGACCTGAGGTAGAAGCCGGCGTGGGACCCCCGCCCCGCCCCCCGCGTGCGCCCCACCACTCCGGGGGCTCTGGTCTGGGAGAAGGGGCATCGGGTTCTCAGCGCCAGGCCAGATTGTGTCTGGGGACAAAAGGGTCCCCCTCCCACAGTGATTGTGCTGCTGTAGAGAAAATTGGGGAGGGGAGAACCTTCCAGAAGGAAGAACGGAGAGGAAATCCCAGACGCCCGAGCCACCCTCTCCTGGAAGTGGGAAGTGTCAACGGCCCTGACGTACGCCAAAGAAAGGGGTCCCCCCAAAGACACAGCACAGCCCTACACCCCAGCAAACCCTGCCAAAGTGCCCAGCGCGGCGAGACGGCGCCGCACCGGGCAGCTGGCGAGGCTGCCCCTCCCGGCCTCGTTAGGCCAGGCTCCCTGGGCCCAATTAGAGGTTCCAGGCGCGCCCGGGGGACAGTGAGCTAACGGCCCCCACCCCAGAGAAATGGAAGCCCAGTGCACGAAAGTGAAAGGTGACTAAGCCCGGACCGACTCCGCCGGTCCCCAGGGGCGGGCGAGGACGGGGGAGGCCGAGGCCCGGAACGCTGCGGAGCCCGGGGCGGAGGGCGCGGAGGGCACAGGCCTGTGCCCAAGACCACGCCCCGCCCGTCCCCACCCCGCGGCAGGGGTCTGGGGGAGCAAGAAAGAACAGGGGGACCGAGTGAAGGAGACGAGAAGGGGGGGGTGTTAGGGATGCCGCGGCCCCAAAAACCTCACCCTGAGCTAAGCCTGGCTCGCCCCGAGCCCCCAGTATTGATAAGTCTTCAGAAGCAGCCCTTTCAGGCAGGAGATCGTCTCCATCCCTGAGACAGGAGCCCGGGGACTGTGACTGGCACACCGCGACACACCCCGTCCCTCGCCCGGGCTCTCTTTCCAGCACTTTCTCCTTCCTAGTTAAGACTTTCAGGTCCCTGACGGGGAGCGGCCACAGCACAGCGAGAGAACGCGTGGGCGCCCGCGCCTTCCGTGCGGGATCTGCCATTCAGCATCGTGTCCCCC